ACCTTCAAACCCCTCACACTGACAGGTACGTGACCCATTCCCCATCCTCTGAGAGTGCAGGCAGTGATTCTCTGGCTGGATCAGAGCACCTGCTTCTTGCCTCTCCGTAGTATGGGGGCCAGGTGGCCTTGAGGCGCCCCCCCGACGCACGTAGGCGCGACTCTCTGACACATAGAATGGATTCAGTCCGTCTGGGAGCTACCCGCAGGTCCCTCACAAGTCGCATGGCCGAAGCCACATGGGAAAATGGGTGTGTCCCTCTATTGATGCCCCCCCCCCGCCTCGCCATCCCGCTGTATTTTTACGACCCATTCCCTCATCAGACTGCTCTTTACGTCTTCAATAAAAGCAGCCCTTCTGACCACAGCACACTAACAGCATAGTAAACGCACATCTATGCACGGTGACCTGTGACCCGAAGAGCAGATAACAGGAAACAGATCTGAGTCCTCAGAACGGCCTCCACACTTTAGGGTTTATTCTGCCTCAGCTGCAGTAGTAGATCAGTTTAAGAAAATTGTATTATGTTGTAACATTCAAAAGGACCTTATGACATTTCAGGTTTAGGATTACCATAACTGTAGGATCGCAGGAGTGTGCATATGGCAACCCAAGCTGTAGCTCTGATGTCATAAGGAACAGCAGTGACATCATAATGAAAATTAGTGATGCAATAAAGAAAGGCTTGTCATGGGAAAAAAGTTTTGACATAATAAGGAGACACTGTGATGTCTTGGGGAAAGGCTTTGATGTCATATGGAGGCTGTGATATCATAATGAGACTGTGGCATCATAATGTTACATAATGGTATATGAAAACAGATGACATAAGAGGTCATATGATGATATAAGAAGGAGACACAACTGGAAGCGAGAGGCATGATAAGGTGGAAAGATGTGAGGAAATGTGAGCTCTGATCGTCTCCCACCATGACATGACACCTGTGCTTTAGGATGAAAAAAGCTTATGTACATACACACACACACAGACACATACACACAGACACACACACAGACACATACACAGACACAGACACACACACACAGACACATACACACAGACACATACACACAGACACATACACAGACACAGACACACAGACACAGACACAGACCCACACAGACACAGACACACAGACACAGACCCACACAGACACAGACACACACACACACACACACACAGACACATACACACAGACACAGATGCACAGACACAGACCCGCACAGACGTAGACACACATACACACACCCACACACAGAGACACACACAGACACACACACACGGAGACACACACAGACACACACACACACACGGAGACACACACAGACACACACATACACACATGGAGAACATGCATGCACACACACACACACACACATACAGGTATATAGTGTTTAGCAGGACAACCTGAACCCACAGTGGTTTATGGGGACACCCATTTCCCACTGTCTTATCAACACAGAACTAACACCAAAAATTTTTATTTGGTGTAAATAAGATACATCCCACTTCAAATTTAAGTTAGTGTGCTGAGATCACAATGACTTTAAACACCTGACAATTCACAGGCTTACAGGGTCACAACGTTTTTAGTGTTTACCAGGACATTTGGGATTATAAGGTCGGTTGATTTACAATACACAACTTTAATCATTACCTGGTATATGAGGACTGACAGGGTTTAAGAGGCCAGTACATATAGTACATAATCAGTCACTGTTACACAAGGTCTGTTTCCAAACCTTAGCTTACACTGGATTATAAAATCTTAGACCTGGTATCAGAGTACTGCACATGTACACTTTTAGAAGCTTGCAATGATTAGTACGGTATCCAACATGATTGAACTTGATTCTATATATGCACTATGGAGAACATGGACTAAGATCGGTGTATTAAAAAAAACACATCCCTAGATTGTTAGATGCCATTATGGAGCAGAGTAATCATTATATTAGGACCTAGTTGTCTAGTTGAAACAGCAAAGTCCTCTTCAGTTTAGCAGCAGCACTTATGAGCTCATTTAGGTCCAATTACAGCAAAAATCCTCAGCTATTTCTAATTTTTCTGAAGATGTGTCTTACCTCACTATGTAGACAAAGCAGTAACTGTATCTCTGTTTGGTCTGAAATCCTCTCCATAACTGACAAGATTGGTATGCAAAATGCCCCAACACACCCTTAAGTCTAGTTTTAGGTGAAAATCATGCAAAAATACAAAACAGGTTATCAATGCTCTTTTTTAACTCTTCAAAAATACTCTTGATAAACAAGAAACAATCAAAGCATGATTTCATTTTAAGCTTGTTTAATTAGTGTATACTTTTACAACTACATGTAAAAGTACCATGGTCTTTTCGCAGCATGTTTTCTGACTTTGGTAGGCACTAAAACAGACAGATAACGTTAATGTTAAAAATAGTCATTCAGACCTCTTCACTTCCTGTACATGTTACTGTGAGACATGTTTTCATTTTGTCATTATGGATTAGATTAAAGAACAAAAATGTCAGTTTTACCTATTTCAAATTAAATCTACAAATCAATAACGTGTGCAGAGCATCAATGGGTCTGAATGCTATCTGAATTCACTGGATATAACAGGTTAAAATACACACATGTAGACTGGAATGAGCACCATTTCTACATTAGTTTTAATTTAGATTTTTAAGAAAAAATCAGTTTCAGAAAATGGATGAATGGATCTCCTTCTCTTTGATCTTTCACTTACATTACATTTTTGTTAGCGAGCTGTTGCTCCCAAAGTAAGGATACTTTAATACAGGGGTGGCTAATCTTATCCGCAATGGGACGGTGTGTGTGAGGGTTTTCGCTGCAACTCCCTAACTAAGTTACTAATTAGAGGACTGATTGGCTGAGGAGTCCTCACACCTGGGTTTAAACAGCTGACCTAAAGGTTATCCCAAAAACCTGCATACACACCGGCCCTTTGCGGATAAGATTGGCCACCGCTACTTTAATAAGACAATAAACAATGACTACCTTTACAGCAATAAGAGAATATTCTGAATAAGACACTATCATGCAAACAGATTTTTCATTACCATACTGTATAAGCATTAACTGGAATAAGACGTAAACTATTCTCCAATCTTATTCGCATTATGCAGACATGTAAACTCCTTATTCGCAAAACACATCCTAATAGAATTTTTTGCAGTATTTTACAACACATATGGCATTTGCCAACTGCTTAAGGACATGAGCTGTGTCATCTATTGCTGCTGCATTTACTGGCATGTTTGCCCATAAAATTAACAAATCAGAATGTAAAATTGAGCTGGAGTAGAAAATACTCAAAATGGTTTGTGGTAGTTTGGGTAGTCAAATTCTAGAGGAAAAATCTAGGTGCGTAGGGAACGTATCGTGGGTGTGCCATTAGGCATGGAAACAAGAATATGAACAGAATACTCCATAAATAACTCATGTAAACACCACAATCAAAAAATTGACTTTATTCTTAAGTCAATGTTCAGAATATTACTGCCTATGTAAATAGTCAATGACAGCCATTCCTACATGAAGAATGTTTTCCTCTGAATGTGTAAGAGATCCTACTGAAACCCTACCGTTACTCTCATTTTTGTCAGTGTTTGCACCTGAAAAATAAATTAAAAAGGCATATTACACACAATTATTTACACACACATTGCTTAAACCTTTAAATACACAGTGAGCCATGAACTACATTAATTTAATTTATGCTGGCACTTCACAAGGCTTATGCTAAACTGTTTCCAGTCAGGAGAACTACAATTAACAGTAGCTTTTCCGATTTCACAAATAGCATTCAAAGACAATAAAAGTTGAATTGGCCAATGTCTTACACATAAACTACTGTTAGCTATACAGTCATCAGAAACCTTACACTGTCCTGCTACACCACAATGACGTTACACACAAATAAGAGTTGATTTGACCAGTGTCTTACACATAAACTACTGTTAGCCATACAGTCCTCAGAAACCTTTCACTGTCCTGCTACACCACAATGACGTTACACACAAATAAGAGTTGATTTGGCCAGTGTCT